GGGGTCAGGAGCCACCGTTCACACCTTGAGGGAAACCTAGGGGCTCACACGTAAGAAGTCGAGTCCAAAAAAGCGCTCGGAATGTGCATACCATAAGTTCAACACCCCCCACGATTTTCAAATCTCGCGACCGCAAGACCCAGAACCCACTTTCGGGCCCACGGGAACCAAACCCCATCCCAGGAACCCTATGACCCCAGGACCCACGGACCCCAGAGCATACACCCCAGAGCATACACCCATCAATTAAACTCCTTCAGAAGTGGAAACAGACCCTCACAAAACAACTGCTCTCCACACCATCTCCAGCAAGGAACCCAAGGACAGCGACCCCCCACAAGCACCCCCTTGAACCCCATCTCTACACTCCATACCTCGCAGGAGCAATCCCCAGCTCCAAGCCCGTTTCAGGAGCACACAGGAGCGTAGTTCGCCTATGCTGAATCCCAATACTGTTATCCCCCATCACCATCACCGCTACCACCCACCCACCCACCCACCCACCCTTCCACCAGTAGCCCCGTGGGATTGATAATAAAATGGCAGATCCAAGCCCAAACACTATAAGGAGGAGGCTGGAGACTGGAAATATAGCACAAGCACAGACCAGCCTGCTTGATCGACACCCAGGAATGAGCTCTCGTACCTGAAAGAAATTTCTGATATTATTAATATATGTGTGAAGGAGAAAACCTGTGCGCAAGAAGTCTCACCTGGAGTAGAGCTTAATCATGGATGAATGAGAGAATGAGAGCACAAGGAGGTAGAAGACTGGAAACAGCACAGCACAGACCAGCCTGTTGGATTGACAGCCAGGAGCGAGCTGTCGTACCTGGAGGAGAGCTTTACAATACATGTGGATGAAGGATCAGACCTGTGAGCGAGGAGTCCGACCTGCAGTAGAGCTTGATCATTGATGAATGAGAGAATGAGTGAACAAAAGCGGTCGTACCTGAACGAGATTTTAATCATGGTGATGAGCTCAATCAATCAAATTGGGTTCTAGCTGTCACTAATTCTGGTTGTTATCGCGTTGCCATAAGGTCCAACAGACACATACTCATCGATTGATTGAGCTCATCACCACGAGAACTTCATGACCACTTCTCATAGATTCTTTTGTTTGTCTAAACCCTCTAGTCTCCCACTTCTTATGACTTTTTTTTTTTTTTTTTTTTTTTTACCACAATGGCCCCTTCCATTATGTGAACGGCCTAACCTTTGTGGCACCAGTCAGTCACCTAGCAAAGGGGGAGCTGCAAGACAAGGGGGTCCCCCTTTCCTTGGGGATGACGGGCCCGCAGCCCCCCCTGCAGATCTTCTAGGGCCGCAGGGGGTCTGGGCTGTGTCTTGCTACTTGCAAACAAGTGGTTTTCAACTTTTCACTCTTTCTAAGCGATGCTGGACCCGGTTTCCAGCAGGTGTAGCTCCCCCCACCAATAGACTGGAGCCCACTACAGGTCCGCTGAGGATGGCTGCTCGTATCAGCACCCCTCAGCGGACCTGTTGGGGGGGGGGGAAGGGCGGAGGGGGTGGAAGAAGAAGGAAAGATTGGACTTTTTTTTTCTCTCTAATGCTAATTAAACGTTATGGGCATGAAGTAGGAGACCGGAGCCGTAGACAAACAAAAGAGTTTGTTATTTATTAACTAATAATGGGGAGAAAACTCAGAAAAGATAGGACATGCCATGAGTGCTATGAGAACATGAGTGACGACGCAGTCATACCTGGAGGAGAGCAGTGATAAAGAAGTGAAAGGCGTGCGTATTTTCATCGACGAGGATTGACAGTCGGCCGAAAAATGTCATTATCCCATGCATCTGCAGCAGCACAGCGAAGAAAAAAACAACAACAACCGAGAGTACATATAACAAGCATCAGTACCTGCACCACATACACATGAACGAACCTGTACCGCAGCTACGACCAGATTCTTGTCGTAGATTCAGACTGCCAGAATACACACAAAAAGTGTGGAAAGTTTGGAGGCCTGTCAGAGACTGCCAGAATAGATGCTAAATTGCAAAATGTGGAAATGTGGAAATGTGGAAATGTGGAAATGTGAATACACACACAGAAACTCTATTCAATCACTAGTCGACTTATGTACCTTGGAACAAAGTGGACTAGACCTGGTACAGCAGGTGGAATAGGCTGTACTAGGGTATAGCGAGTGGACTACCGTCTTCCACTGAACACAACGCACCCTTATTTTGGCTGTATCTGGCCGGAAATACAGCTCGTATAGTTCATTTTTAGGGTGTGTTATGATCGGGGGAAGACGGTAGGCTGGACTAGAGTACAGCAAGTGCTGCTGCAAAGTGGAGACGAAGGCAGAACACAACGACAAGGCCATTTATACAAAACACCAAACTGGAGGGGTGAAGGGGGTATAGCAAGTGGAATAGGCTGGACTGCAAAGTGAGGAAGAACTACACAGAAAACAATGACCAGGCCATTTAATATGGCAGTTATACAACACCAAACTGGGGGGTGAAGGGGCAAGTATTCGCGCATATGGGGTGGGAACTAGACCAGGTACAGAGTGGACTAGAGCTGGTACAGAAAGTTCTGGAATGGGCTGGACGCTCCGGCTAGTCTGAGTTCCGCCTACAGTCTTCACCCAAATACAACGTACGGTCATTATCACCGTATCTAGACTCAAAGTTGCCCGAAATACAGCTATAATGACGGTACGTTGCATTCGGGTGAAGACTGTAGCCTTGGGTAAGTTAGGGGAAGGACGGTAGGATGTGTCCGTGGGCGACCACTTGCCTTGCTTAGGTACTCTGTACTGGGTAGACTCTGTACCTGGTCTAGTCCCCACCCCACTCTGTACCTGGTCTAGTCCCCACCCCATATGCGTGAATACGGAATTGGGCCTGTAGAAGATTGCATGAGCCTGACGTCTGAAGTCCCCGTACCGCAAGGTTCGTCCGCTTCCGCTTCCACTATAGTAGGGCTGGGGGTTTGGCCCAGCCTGGTGCTTGTCACATGTGTGTATATGTGTATATAGAGTAAGAAGCATTCACATGTGTGTGTATATGATGTATCTGAATTTATTAACTTGCCGGGGGAATAGGAACACCGGGCGGACGCTCCCCCAGGATAGATATGCAGCCAGGACGATAAAGCCCTATTCATTAAAAAAAAAAAAAAAAAAAAAATGCATTCACATGGAGTCTGGGAGGTGAGAACGCCGAAAGAGAAACGATGGTAGGCCTTGCGCACAGGGTCCTTTTTCTTCCTTTT